TGGCGCTAAGTTATCCCCCTTTCTTTCTGCGGGGTAAGTATGCGAACAAGTACTCGCATTAACTGTGTAAATAGCTATTTGTCTTACAAGTGGTTGGATAAGAATTAGTGTTTTAACGCCGAAGAGACACGAAAAGAAAAGAGCGGAAATGGCATCGCGAGTCTTAAGTATCTTCGAGTGGATTTTTACTACTTCTCTCTCTCTTACCATTTCTACTATTCTATCCATTTCTACTATTTTCTCGTAAAGTTCCAAAAAATTGCCGTCGATATTTCTGCAAAGCGAGATTTCAAGCCTTAATAAAACAACTGCATATGTACACGTTAATAACAATACCCGAGCACTTAATGCATTTTCAATTTTTATATATAACGCGATTGATTCATTGTTAAAACGCGATGAAACTCGAGGAATTAGCGAGAAACATCGAAACAATGAAATGTCGAAACAATGTTTAAAACGACGGAAGTTATTATGCACTATATTCTACATTGTATCTGCGGCAATTTCACGCCAGTTCCACGCTTCCTGACCAATCGTGGAAGCTAACAGATTACTGATGCTTTGGCGAAAGAGAATTTCAAGCACAATAAAACAATCATTTATACAATATTTATGGAATAATAACAAACCACTCAATATTTTTTTAGGAGCATAATTGTTTGATAACTATAAAAGTATAACGACAACAAATTTAAAGCAAATTATATTGCAGCAAAAATCTTTTATTCGATTATATGCATCAATGATTATTAGTTTCGATGCTTTCGCGATCTATCCCAAAAAATACTCGAGACGAGATTATTGACATTTTGGTAGCTGTCTAATTTATTTAATGATTAATTATTTATCCAATGATTAATAGAACCACTCGTAAGTATTTCTAATAGTCAACCTACGCGCATAATTTTTTCCATCTGCTTTATTAATCGACGCGATGATGTCGATCGTTAATTATATCAACTACTTTGAATATCTATCTCATTTATTTAATGCCTGGAGGAATATATTTCACGGGTCACCACACTAGAGGAATGAAACGATCATAAAAGATCGTTGGATAAATTCTAACTATTCTTTATATAAATTTTATATATGCAGTGTATATCTTGATAATACAATATTTACGTTACAAAATATATAATTGCTTAATTAATTATTGCGTATAGAGTATACAAAATTATGAGAATCTATTATTAGCAGTGCTTGGCAGAAGTTATGTGAATCTATTATTGGAGCAATGCTACTGAAAAAAAATATTTGTTAAGTTGGCTGAACTTTTCAATTAAATTATCATTTTTAAATTGAACATATATTAATATTTAAGTCGAATATACGTTTTGCTATGTTATATTTAATTAAAATATTTGTATATGTTCAATTAACAAAATAATATTTAAGTTAAAAGGTTTAGTCAAGTTGACAATTTTTTTCAGTGTGCTTGCCTCAAAATATAATAAATTTACATAAAATATATTTACACCCTAGACAATCTTAATTCGTCGTTTCGCTTAAACGATTTAATAAAGTGTATCGCGTCAATGACGCGAGAAAACAAGATTGATTCGTAGTTCGGCAAGAAATTTTGCACTAGCTCGAGATCATGACATCCCTGCGCGTTAAGGACAAAGAGTTTCAAAGAATATGACACACTCGTCGATGTGGAGAAACGCGAGCCGGGACTAACGAAGCTGCAGGCATATGTATACACAAAGTCGACATCGTGAGTTCACGAACCGCGAAGAAGAGGAGGAAGAATAAGAAGACGACAATGAAAACAGCATCGGAGAGGAGGAAAATAAAAGAGAGAAAGAGAGAGAGAGGAACCGGCGCCACTCTCTTCGAAACGGTGCTCCGGCTCTTCATGGTGTGCAGGCTCGCGCGCCAACTCGCGCGCGGGGGTAAACAGACGAAATTATATCGAAGAAAAATTACCTCGAGATAATAGTGATTAATGATCCGAGCGGTGGGCGCGTGTGCGTGAAAACGGATATGTGTGCGTGCGAGTCGGTACACCGATGCCGGTAAAATATGATGCTGGGGAAACTCTCTCTCTTTCTCTTCTACACTCAGCCACTACTTTCCATCCCTTTCTCTCCTCCTCGTTCCTTCAAATTTCCCCTATCGCGATTCGACCACGTCGTCCTGCTGTCAAACTTTGGCGACACGGAGAAGAGCGCGAGAGGAGAAGCGGACAATCATCTCTTCTCTAATTAACACATTAAGACTAATCAGAGCTGGTCGAGTTATTCTTGTTCGGCGTGTCCACTTGCCTAGATTTAACGTTCCCGCCTAAATTAATTCTAATTATTTCTATGGCTCATATTTTGCGATCAATGACGTTTCGTGATAGAAGAAGACTTGACATATATTTCTTATTTAGAAATTCTTTTTACGATGAGTAAATATACAATATAATTTGGTTTGCTTTTTGTATAATAAAAAATGTATGAAAAAATATGTTTTCCTAAAGTCTTAGATCATCTTTAAAATATAAATACGGATAAAATAAAAAATACTGTGATGTTTTTATTACGGATTCTTAATTATGGATATCGTATTGAAATTATTTACTAGTCTATTATATTATTGGTTTCGTGATATAAGATTTGATATACTTCTCATTTACAAATTCTTTTTACGATGAGTAAATATACAATATAATTTTGTTTGCTTTTGTACAATAAAAAATGTATAGAAATATGATTCTCTAAAGTCTTAATTACATCATATTTAAAATATAATAAATTACGTGATAAAATATTATAACTATTGTCATATTTCATTCATTATCGTTCTAATTAATGAATGAAATAATTAGACCATATATTATCATACGTCATACGTAATAATTATTTCATTCATTAATTAGAACGATATAATAAACGATATGTAAATATTGCAAAAGCTATAATATTTTATTACGTAATTTATTATATTTTTAAGATAATCTAAGATTTTAAGTAAATATATTTTTGTACATTTTTTATCAAACAAAAGCAAACAAAATTATATTGTACATTTACTTCTCGTAAAAAGAACTTAAATGAGAAGTATATCACGAGTTTTCTTCTATAATAAAACTAATGATAACAGGCTAGTAAATTATTTTGCCAATGTGATATTCATAATCCGTGAAAACATTCGTATTTTTTATTCATCAAAATGTGTAAGAATTAATTTGAACTTTTTTATTTGTATTTGATTGATTAATCTGTCATAATGAAATATTTTTGTTCATTTAATTTCTTAATTACTTGAATACGATTGACTAAATCCAGTTTTATAATTTGTTGAAGAAAGATTACACGCGTTATTCGGTTCTTTTTTTCGTTTAGACGTTCTTCTGCGGAATTGTCAATGACTGGTCCGCTGTCTCGTCTCTCCTCTCAGGAAGGAGAGAAGACGCGGTGAGTGTAGTGGAAACTGGTTTAAATATTTTCTGGGCACGTGTTTTATACGTAGGTAGAGATATATCCGCGCTCCTCTCCGGCACGCTCGAATGTATATAAGGCCCGCTTTGCTATCTCGGGTCAGATCTCGACGGTGATCTTCAGCTCTCATTTTTTCGTACGGTCACTCCGCTATTATACTCGTCCACGAGGGCCTCTCGGAAACACGTTTGTATACAAAAGCCTCACCGGCCATTATTAATTATCGCGATACGGTACGCTTGCAAATGTAGAAGATTCGACATGGAGAAGATTCGCGATTTCGGGCAAATTCGAGGAATTCCTACGCGTATTGCAGCACGAAAAATATGTCGAAAGACATTATGATATAATGTATATTAACCTTTTTCCAATGGTGACATAATATATGACGTAATATATTAATACAGACAGAATTTTCTTTTAGAATTTACCCTGAAAATCATGGTAATTGTGAAACAATATTGAAAGATTTTTAAGTTTCTCTGATTAATATTTACTACAATAAAAATATTAATATCTACCACAATAAGATATAAAATAACTTCGACCAATTTTACTATGTACATAGTAAAAGTTACTATGTATATATAAATATTTTTTATTGTGGTATAATATTAATCAGAGAAACTCTTAGAAAATTCTTCCAATACCATATTGTGCTATGAGTACCATGATTTTCAGAGTAAATTCTAAGAGAAAAATTTCTCCATGTATTTGTAGCATAATATCTCTTAATTAAAAAATTTTTATAAATTATGCAGGAGCGAATCATGTGATATTGTAATGCAATCGTGCAAAATTTTAAGTGACACGTATTCGAAGTAATGCCATATCATTATATCAGTATTTTGTGACATAAAATATTGTCACACGACACAATATATAATAATGCATAATATAAAAATAGAAATACCCACCATACAATAAGACACAATATGAAAATACACAGTATGAAAATACACAATATACAATAATATATAATATAAAAATACACAATATGTAATAATGAGCAATAATGACATTTTGTCAAAATAATACTACAAATTAGTAATTTCAATTAAAATAATGATTTTAATTAATTTTTGCTTTGTAAATACATATATATATATATATATATATATTTATTTATTTATTTAATTCAAGACTCAGCTGTTGATAGATTTTTAACAAATATAAGCATATTTATATTTAATTCATTAATTTGTTAAGATCAAATAATTAGAATATTAATTTTCTAATTATTTAGAGAAAGCAAACCTTGAAAATTAAGAAAGGAATAAACAAGAGAATGTTTAAGAGAATCTTTTTCAAATTGTTTTACAATTTAAAACTTATATGTATCGTTCAATTTTTATATATGATTTGACTTGTGTGTGAATGAAGATGTAAAATTATATGATATCATATTTATGTGTGTATGTACTTTTCGGGAAATATAAAGATCAGCTCAATGTTTTTTTCAATACATTTCGAAAATAAATAAGTTTGATATCTCACACATTTTCTGCTGTATTTATATTTTGTTACATATTTGTCACAATTCACAATATTATAAAAAAGACTTACTTTTCGTTGCTCGACAAGGACAGCAATTTTTTTGCAGGATTCGACGACGCAGCAACCTTCGTCACCAAGTTTGTTTCACACACTCACACGTTGGCACGATTATATCGAAGTTAATTAGGTTAAATGCGCGATCGTCACTCGAGTACCGATTAAATTTAATCACGATCGTCGCGTTTAATATTCCGCAGGTAATTGATACAATTTGAGTATATTGTCACAATTAATATGTTATTTGCATGGAACTTTTGCGCGACAATTACGATAAAATCAAGTACCTTTTTATACTCTTCAACGAATTTTATATATATATATATATATTTTTTTTTTTTAATATGCATTCGCGGAGATAAAAATGATACCAATAATATATAATCGAAAGCGAATTCACAATCGAGTAATTAACCTCAATAGCGTTAACAAAGCGTTCTGTTTATTATAGAATCGCGATTTATATTTATATTAATAGACATGTTATAAAATAAAGAACAATTAAGAAGTCTTCATCGTGTTTTTTCTCTCCTTTCGGCACAGATGACATACACAAGTTCGTACCTGAAAACAATTCGCGTTATGAGTTTTTTTTGAACGAACATCATTGTTGCGGTATTACGGTACTTGCTACATAAACATGTTTACATACCGGCGATAGACTCGCACGCAAGTATTGTGTACTTACCTCTGGGGACGAATATCTAGTCAATTGACAATGAGACACACGCGACGAGCACCGAAATTACGCGAAACGGCGTACGCGACTCGCGAATCTCGAAACACGATTGAACTGCCGGACGACTCGCGAAAAAAGAACACAATTGATCTTTTTATCGCCGAGCGCGACTTTCCGCAATCGAAGGCGCGGGCAACGGAGATCAACAATGTCGTCGCGCGATACAGTGCGCGCCATCTGTGACGCAGCGGCGAACTAAGGTCACGGCTCGAACGCGCGCGACGTTCCAGTTTACCTATTTACCACGCACTAACGCGGACTTTGAAAATAATCTCGGTGCAATCACAGGAGGACCGCGTCGTCCGAACTCCGATTAATTTAATCGACGTTTGATATTCAATTGGAAGAATCTGTTTTATATCAAACGAGTACCTCTTATTAGATATTGAACGTCGATTACAATTTCATCGGTTTAACGAATTGCGAACAAGGTGAGCGGTCACATCTTTATGTAGAATTAATTAGGCAATATTAGTACATAAAAAGATCATGAAGAGAGATTGAGAAAATATCGTGTTTTATGCTAAGCATAACATATATGACCTTGAACCTTATTTGCATAAATTGCTTATCGATATATTCTATTGCAGATATATATATAAATCGCAATTTAATTGTTAAATTTGAGATGAGATATGATGTTAAAGCATAAAATGTATAAATTATTACGCATGTTATGAAAATGTTAGTAAAGTTTTCTAATTCTAATTTTCTGTGAATGCAGTGCCAAAGGAAAGTGCAGCGGTTTCTGTTCATGCAAGGACGTGATTTCAAAAATGATTTCGATGGACCAGCGATTACAGAAAGCTGCTGATGATATAATTTATGCTGATTTCTTCAAGTTGACAAGTTGCGGACATGGTGAGGTACATAGAATTAATTATTTAATATTAATGCGTAAGAAATTCATGAAGAAAGAATGAGAATATCATGTTTAATGTTAAACATAATCGATCTTGAATTTTATTTGCTATTGCATAAATCACATATTGATATACTGTATTGCAGATATATGCATATAAATTGCAATTTAATTATTAAATGTGAATAAATTTAAATCATTATGCATGTTATAACGATAAGATTGATCAAGTTTCCTAATTATAATTTTCTGTGAATGCAGTGCCGAAGAAAAGTGCAGTAGTTCCTGTTTATGCAAGGACGTGATTTAAAAAATAATTTCGATGGACCAGCGACTACAGGAAACTGCTGGTGACATAATTTATGTTAATTTCTTCAGGCTGACGAGTTGCGGACATGATAAGACATATAGAACTAATCATTTAATATTAATATATAAAAAAAATCGTGAAGAGAGAAAGAAAATATCGTGTTTAACGTTAAACATAATCGATCTTGAATTTTATTTGCTATTGCATAAATCATATATTGATATACTTTTGCAGATATTCGTATAATTGCAATTTAATTATTGAATTTGAAATGAGATATAAATTTAAATAATTATGCATATTATAAAAGATTGATTAAGTTTCCTAATTATAATTTTCTGTGACTGCAGTGCCGAAAGAATAAAGTGCAGCGGTTCCTCTTTATGCAAGGACGTGATTTCAAAGATGATTTTGATGGACCAGCGACTACAGAAAGCTGCTGATGACATAATTTATGTTAAATTTCTTCAAGCTGACGAGTTGCAGATATTGGTGAGTCATATTTTTTTATTGAATTATCAATATTGATGCGAATAAAAACATAATTGCATTTATAAAAAGTTAATTGCTAAATATTGCACTAAACCAATAATATTTCGATTTTGAGCTTTATTTATATTTCATAAAGTTATATTTATATTTTATATACATATAACTGCAGATATAAATATAAATTGCAATTATATGGTATAATATAGGTGATCTCAGATATACGAGTTTTAAACATAACATACTGCATAAATTATTATGCATTTTTATAAAAAATCATATTATGATTTTCTAATTATAATACTTTCTGACGAGGATATACAATATTATTTATTTAAATTCTTGAAACATATATATGCATTGTTATTTGCATCGTCAAAGCTATAGCGAAACGCTATCATATTTATATTATACGATAATTATCACATGTTATATATAATTATGTGGTACAAATTTCATGAATTACTATACTAGAAAAAAAAGTTGTTAACTTGATTAAATACGTCCAACTAATTACTATTTTATTAATTGAATATATATAAGTATTTAAATCAAATTCACGTTATATTTAATATGTTGTATTTAATTTAAATACTTTGATATGTTCAATTAATAAAATAGTAGAATTAGTTGAACGATTTAATCAAATTAACCAATTTTTTCTCAGTGTAATTAATTCAATACAAAACACATACAGAATATTCGTAATTGCAATGAAACATATCAATATGTACAACCGCATCTAAATTCTCGAAATTATAACTGTATATTATATACGTAACGCGAAATGCAAAGAAAAGTCGTTGAACTTCCTTGAACGGTAGCAAATTTTGCTTCTTGGAGCACCCGGGTGCAGCTGCGACGGCTTAACATTTCTCGAATAATGTCTTGAAACTACTAGGAATGGCAAGTTGCCATTAAGAGCTGGGGCGCGAACGACGTTTCGTCTGGATAAATATTTGAAACGTTTCCTGACGATCTTGAGAGGTTCATTACGAAGGATTACACGACTCATATCGAGGACTTAGAAATTCTCCTTTCGCGCCAGAAGACGCGATCACAGTCTTTGCAGACTGATTCAAACGCGGCAAATTAGTACGTTCGTCCTTTCATCCCTCTCTCTCTTGCTCATATAATCGCGGCCTTCCTCCGTCTTCCGATTTAATTTCCGGTTCTCTCCGCGATCATTTAAAGTTTCTGGCGTTTAAGCCGAATACTCAGAAGTTTTATCGTAAATGACGCGGGTATTACGCCGGAATAAATGATCGCATGCTAATAAGAAAAAAAAGTAACGGTAAGTAAAAGAAATGTGAATAGTGAACCGAGTTTTCTCGAGTAAATAGCGGAAAAATAAATAGTCAGCATTGTTATTCAGAAAGAATGAGAAAGAGAGAGAGAGAAAGAAAAATGACAAAAGGCTCACGTTTCTTTTGCCAGGAATCGGTGACTTTCTTCGGGTAATGAGATTGCATTAATATCGTAAAACGTGAAGAAATTTTGAAGACTTGAGACCTGCAAGGTGTATAGAAGAAGCGGCATATTAAAAACTTCCGTCGTCACGATTATATACGAGCCTTTTCTCATTTGCCAAGACGCGCGTTGATGTCGCATATACATAAGAAACGCATACGAGAATATACAGATGTATTGTGTGTATTGTGTTGTACGTGAGTTCGAATTCGGCCCGGCTAAAATTAGCATCCTGGGACGCTATAGGACAACGCCGTCAGGGTAATAGGCGTTTAAGGCTTAATGTATGCATTGAAAACTATTAGGTATTCAAATACTCGGATTGCATTACGCTGCACTATAATACCTGACTTCCTCCGGTAGCCGCCGGCGAAATTGCCACTATTATTCTTATTATATTTTATTTATTTAGCCGGCCTTAATCCATCTTAATGGCATCGGCGCAAGTCGAGACGTCTCGTTCTACGGACAAAAGACGCGCCTCTCTTAAACTTATATACATGTTTTTCATTGCATCAGCGAGTGGCTCTGATATTTATCGTCAAATTTTAAGTACGAATTACAACATATTTTAGATTTCGATATTACGTGGATATGATAATTCTATTGAGTAAAAAGAGAACGGGCATATCTTTATTGGTAGATTCTGAAAATTTTAATCAATTATGAATTATATTGATGAAAAATATTCGGAAGGATTTTTGAATTTCTATCAAGTACTGAGAATTCGTAAATGTTTTTTTTTGTTCGAGCCATCGCGCGTATACGGTTATAATAATGTAAAATCCAAAGCGCGCGGGAAAGGTGCAACGAAATCAATCTCGCAATTTCGCCGTAAATGTGTTCAATTAACGCGACCAGCGGGGGCACCGTGCTACCGTCAATACGAAGGTCTTCGATTTTTACGGTGCCCTTTGATGCGAGCAGGTTCGATTCGATTCGCCGTTACAAAACTCGTTACATGACGGCCGCTGTACCGAGACTTCTTACAAGACAGTGGCCGTGCTCGATGGCGAAGAAGGCGTTTCGCTTCATTAGCGATAAGCCCTTTTTCCTCTTCATCGCCGTTCCGACGGGTTTTTCTGCGCCTCGCGTTTTTAACTCGCCCGCCTCATGACTTTATGGGCTTATATGCGCATTCCTCGTTGATCGCTCGAAACCAGGTGCGGTATTATCATTAAGGATAAATCACTCTCGCAGACGCAACCTTGTACATGCTCAATGTATGCGATAAAGTTACTTATTGGGAGTCGGAGTATATTTTCGCTGTGTTGTATTAAATTGTACATCTCAATTCGCCCAAAAATTTTATGTTTTTTTTTATTCTTCAAATTATATCTCAAGAGAGAGTAAGATATTTTTTTAAAGTTCGGAATTGGCACAAATTCAAATTGCATTTTAAATGTATTATACAAGTCTCTACATTTATATGTTGGTGAACATAAAATTAGTGGCAAAGAGAAAAAATAATTAGTATATACAACTTATACAAAATATTACCATTACTTATTATTGCTAATTATGAATCTATTGATTCCATTCTTTTGTCTCGATAACGATATCTATTGTTTTTTTTTATACTTATAAAGATTCACCTTTCACCTCGTCTCGTTTATTCAAAGCAGCTAAAAGAAATGCCGACCAGCATACCGAGAGATCTCGAAACCGAAAAAGTTTGTTGTCCTCGAATTAATTACGCAAAACTTCGCGGAAGGACGCTATTCCAAAGAAATCTTGTGACATCAGATCAGATCCTTTTCCTACAGTGTACCCTTAGCACTCGTCGCTGACTTAATTAATTACAATCTCGACATCTTAACAGTTCTATTTTTACCGTCGTTAAGTACATTTCTTTCTTTCCCTTTAATAAATAAATCAATTACGTTACGTAAAATTCCAGATATTTTATAATTCTATAGAATGATATAGTGAAGAGTGCATAATCTTTGTCATACACACGTCACTAAATTAAATATTTTTATCTGTGTACTCTAAATTTCAATATGATTTTATAAGCACATCTGTATGCGTAATTATAAATTTTAAAATATAATAATCTCAATTATGAATATTCAAATATATAAAAGAGATATTATATTTGCAATAATCATATTCTATTTAATATCTTTACATTTTATTTCTTCCTTAAATTACTTTTATAAAAATGGGGAAATTTAGCTAAACAATGTTGCAAATATTTATCGTGGTAATACAATGCTAACACGGCATTCCGGAGTAACTATCATAGTCTAAACGTCGTGAATAGTAGATAAATTGTTTCCATCGGAGAATCGCGTAACAAAGGATCGCGGGAGACGCAAGGACGAAATCTCCTCCTTTTCCTCCCTTTCCTCCGAGAAACGTATCGAACGGTTTGGCAGTCAAACGGGATCCCAAAGCTGGGTCGGCAATTAATTTCGTGCAAATTCGGCGAACGAGTTTTGCGAGATCGCGGTCCAGGGGAAGAGAGAGAGAGAGAGAGAGAGAGATTCCCGAAATCGAGAACCGATAGCTCGGGCTCTTTTCTGGGAGCCGGCTCTTTTCCGCCCGACGCCGCTCTAATTAATAACAGATCGGCGCCTCAACCCTCCTCTAAACCCGGTTAGAGCCGATCGACCGAGAGAGAGAAAGAGAGAGCGCGGTCCGATTTAAATTGAACCGTTCGAAACAAAGGGGGCGGCCGAGAAAGCACCGCGGGCACGCGAAATTAAACAACCTGCAATATATCTCGGAGCCGCTCGTGCGCCCGCCACCCCACAAAGGCGCGTTCACACCCGATTAGGCGCACACACTCGTTCACGCACTCGTTCAGCGATGCGCGGGAGGAACGACGTCTGCCGGATGTGTCGGTGTAACGGAGGAATGTCTAATAACGAACTCTGTGCCTCCCCCTGTTCGCATAGCCATTTCAAGTATCGGCCGGCGACGGGAAGGCTGGCAAAAGTACGCGAGCGATTTCTGAATTTGCCTATCTTATTGTCTTTTCCATGCACCGAAGTCGTTTGTAGTTACGATGCTCGTATTAGCCGTCTTTCGATTTCAAACGCATAGAATTATTTCGTTGTGTTATTTTGATTTAAAAAATTGTAGAACATAGCATTTTGACTTGACAGCTCTTTAATTATTTCTAAATAGTTACGACGTACTTGCAATATAATTTCTGTTGTAATGTGTTGCAATTAGGATTTAACTTGAGTCACTATGTGACCGATTTTATGAGAAATATTATAATTAAATTATATTTAGGGAGGGAATTAATGCAGCGATGAAACAGTGTCATAAAATCTTTAGTTTATTTAAAAGAAGTAATATTTATTTATTTATAAAACGCGTATTTTCTAGTCTCTACGATTATTAATGTCTCATTGATGATTGAATTGATTGTGTCAAGACTTGTTCATTCCTTAAATGTTGAATGCAATATTCCGAATTATATACCGAAAAGAATAAGAAGCGCGAATCAACTGGCAACTCGTGAGGATCGACAAGAAATTCTTTCACATTGTCGACTCGAAACGATATCTTAGAAGTGG